AAGAAGTATGAGAAGAAAAAGGGCAGAAAATGTGAGGGGGAAAGTGAGAAATGAGAGGGGGAAAATAGTGAGAAATGTGAGGGGGAACAGGCAGGAAACATGAAGGGAGAAAAGGGAGGGAAACGTGAGGGGAGAAAAAGGGCGGGAAAGGTGAGGGGGGAAACGGAAACATGAGGGGAAAAGGGCAAGAGAAAAGGGCAGGAAACATGAGGGGGGAAAAAGTGGTAAATGTGAGGGGAAAAGGGCAGGAAACAGGAGAGTAAAAGGAAGAAAAACACGAGGAAAAAAGACAGAAAATGTGAGGGGGGAAGGCAGGAAGTGTGAGAGGAAAAAGGGCAGAAAATGTGAGGGGAAAAGGGTGGAAAAAATGAAGGGAAAAAATGGTGGGAAACGTGAGGGGAGGAAAGGGAGGGAAACATGAGTAAAAATGGAAAATGTAAGGGGGAGAATTACAGAAAAAGTGAAAGGAAAAAATGCCAGGAAACATGAGGGGAGAAAAGAGTGGGAAATGTGAGGTAAAAAATGAGAAATGTGAGGCATAAAAGGGTGGGAAAAGTGAGAGGAAAAAATGGTGGGAAATATGAGAGGAAAAAATGTTGGGAAACGTGAGGGGAGAAAAGGGTGGGAAATGTGAGGGGGAAAAATGGTGGGAAATGTGAGGGGAGAAGGGTGTGAAACATGAGGGGGAAAAAAGGCAGAAAATATGAGGTAAAAAATGAGAAATGTGAGTGGGGAAAGGGTGGGAAAATTGAGGGGAGAAAAGGCAAGAAAACATGAGGTAAAAATGAGAAATGTGAGGGGAAAAGGGTGGAAAAAGTGAGGGGAAAAAATGTTGGCAGATGTGAGGGGAAAAGGGTGGAAACATGAGGGGGAAGAGGGTGGGAAATGTGAGATTAAAAATGGGAAACAAGAGGGAAAAAGGGGGAGAAAAGTGAGTGGAAAAAATGGTGGGAAATGTAAGGGGAGGAAAGGGCGGGAAACATGAGTAAAAATGGGAAATGTAAGGGGGAAAATTAAAGGAAAAGTGAGAGGAAAAAATGTCAGGAAACATGAGGGGAGAAAAGGGCGGGAAATGTGAGGGGAGAAAAGGGCAGGAAATGTGAGGGGAAAAATGAGAAATATGAGAAATAAAAGGGTGGGAAAAGTGAAAGGAAAAGATGTCGGGAAATTTGAGTGGACGAAAGGGTGGGAAACATGAGGGGGGAAAAAAGTGGAAAATGTGAGGTAAAAAATGGGAAACATGAGGCCAAAAAGGGTGGAAAAAGAGGAAAAAATGGTGGGGAATGTGAGGGGAGGAAAGAGCGGGAAACATGAGGGGAGAAAAGAGCGGGAAACGTGAGGTAAAAAATGAGAAATGTGAGGGGGAAAAGGGTGGAAAAAGTGAGAGGAAAAAATGTCAGGAAACGTGAGGGGGAGAAAATGGAGGGAACCGTGAGGGGAAAAAGATCAGGAAACGTGAGGAAAAAAAGGGAAAATTGCAAGACAAACGACAGGAACCCAAGAGTCCCATGATCAGGGTCCTGCTCAAAATAAATTCCTTTTTGCAACAAGACATCCAAGATTGTGGAGTTGGAGCAGTGAGGAGAAAAATCTGAGCCTGACCAGGAGAATCCAAAGCCATGGAAGATTCCCTCCACCTTTGCTCCCACAGAAAGGACCGAGAACCCATGGGAGGAAAAAAGATTACAGCACAAGATGGAAAATTGTAAGTTTTTCTCTTGCAAATTTTATTTTTGTGTGGTCAGGAAGATGGCAGCAGGGCCTGGGTGGGGTTCAGGGGGGATCGGGGTGGTTTTGGGGGATTTTGAGGGGGTTTGAGGGGTTGAAAAGGGTTCTGAGGGGAAGATTGTGAGGGGGAGAAGGAAAAAATGGGGTATGGGGTGATTTGGGGCAGAAACAGCAGGATTTGGGGGGATTCAGGATTTGGGGCAGAAACAGCAGGATTTGGGGGGATTTGGGGCACAAACATCAGGATTTGGGGGGATTTGGGGCAGAAACAGCAGGATTTGGGGGGATTTGGGGCAGAAACAGCAGGATTTGGGGGGATTCCGTGGATGGGATTGAGAGGGATTTGGGGATTTGGCCGTGTGGGTACTGGGAGGGATTTGGGGTGGGAATGGGGGATTTTTGGTGTGAGGATAAATTTGGGGTGCAGGGAGGGAATGTGGGGGCTCGGAGCAGGATTGGGGGTTCAAAAGGGGCTCCTGGAGGTGGAAAATTTGGATTGAGGGGGGAAAAAGAGGGGGAGTGGGGCAGAAAAGGGAATTTTGGGGTGGGGAAGGGTGAGGCTGGGACATCCCTCAGAGGAAAATTGGGGTTTTAGGGTGAGAACTGGGGGGTGCCCCCCTTTCCTACCGTATTTTATGGCACGTTGTGGGTGTTGTTGAGACCTTTTAATTGTTCCCAAGGCTCTGTGAGGTTTTTTTTTTGGGGGAAAGGGGGGAATTTGGGGGGAAATTGGGGCAGGACCGGGGGTGAATGGGATTTCGCAGGGAGGGACAGTGTTGGGGGGGGTTTTAGGAATGGAAGGGGTCAGATTTTGGGGGGGTCAGATGGCTTGAGGAGGGGGTCTCAAACCCACAAAACCCTCACCAAAACGCACAGGGGACCCCCAAAATCCCCTCGGGATCCCCAAAATGCACCAAGGACACTCAAAATCCCCTCGGGACACCCCAAATTCACCGGGGACACCCAAAATCCCCTTGGGACCCCCCCAAAACGCACCAAGGATCCCCAAAATCCCATCGGGACCTCCCAAACCACATTTGGGACCCCCCAAAATCCCCTGGGGACCTCCTAAACCGCTCTCAGCACCTCCCAAAATCTCCTTGGGACCCCCCAAAATGCACCTGGAATCCCCAGTATCCCCTCGGGACACCGCAAAATCCTCTCGGGAGCCTCCAAACCGCACTCGGGACCCCCCAGAATTTCTGGGGGTAGAAAAAAATCCCCTCGGGATCTCCCAAACCGCTCTCAGGACCCCCCGAAATTCCCTCCCGAAGCCCCCAAATCCACCCCCGCTTCCAGGGGGCGTGACCTCCCTTTAATATATTCAAACCCCGCCCCCATGCGCGAGCGCACCGTCCCAATTCGTACGGAAAATGGGCGGGGCCAAAGCGCGGGCGTGGTCTAAGGGAGGGAGGGGCCGCTGTGATTGGGCGCGGTTGAGTATGGGGGCGTGGTCACGCTGGCGTCGTCGCCTGGCAACGGCGCGCGGCGCGGGTCCTCCCACCCGGTAGGCGGCGCTACCCGTCATGCACCGCGAGGCCACGCCCCCCAGCGGAGGGAGCGGAGGAGCCGCGGTAAAATGGCGGCCGGGCCCGGGCGGGGGTCGGGGGGATTTGGGGCGGTTTTGGGGGGTCCTGAGGGGGTCCGGAATGGGGACGGGGGTCTTGAGGGGAAGTTCTGAGGGGAGACAAGGGAGAAAAGGGGGTTCGAGGTGGTTTGGGGCGGGAACGGCGGCGTTTGGGGGGGATTCGGGGGGCGGGAGGGGGCGGGGGGAGATGGGGAGGGGGCGTGAGGGGAGGAGGGAGCTGAGGGGGTTTGGGGAATATTGAGGGGATTTGGGGTGGGATTTGGGGATTCGGGGCCGAAAAGGGGGGATTTGGGGAATATTGAGGGGATTTGGGGGAGGTTGAGGGGGTTTGGGGAATATTGAGGGGATTTGGGGTGGGATTTGGGGATTTGAGGGGGTTTGCGGTGCAGGAGGGGATTTGGGGTAAAAAAAGGAGGATTTGGGCTGGGATGGGGAATTTGGGGTGTGGGGATGGGATTTGGGGGTTCTGGAAGGGATTTGGGGGAAGAAAATGTGGATTTGGGGTGGGATGGGGAATTTGGGGGTTCTGGGAGAGATTTGGGAGAAGAAAATGAAGATTTGGGGGCTCTGGGAGGGATTTGGGGGAAGGAAAAGAGGATTTGGGGTGTGGGGAGGAGATTTGGGTGAGAAACGGAGGATTTTGGGTACAGGGAAAGGGTTTGGGCTAAAAAAGGCACATTTGGGATCCGGGGATGGGATTTGGGGGAGGATCAGAGGGATTTTGGGGTCAGAAGAGGAGATTTGGGATGAGGGGAGGGATTTGGGGTGGGAAAAGAGGATTTGGGGCGGAATTGGATAATTTGGGGTGGGATTTTGAGGGAGAAATTGAGGATTTAGGGAAAAAAAGAATTTGGGGGGGACAGGGAGGGGATTTTTGGGCTGGGAATTGAGGATTTTGGGGAGAAATTGAAAATTTTGGGGTAAAAATGGGAACTGAGGTGGAATTTGGGGCAGGATTGGGGATATTTGGGGTGGGGTTTAGGACAGGGAGGAGAATTTTGGGGCAGGAATTGAAGATTTTGGGGAGAAACTGAGAATTTTGGGGTAAAAATGAGGAACAAAGGTGAGATTTGGGGTGGGGTTTAGTACAAGGAAGAGAATTTTAGGGTAAGAATTGAGATTTTGAGACCGAAAAATGAAAATTTAGGCTGAAAAAAAAAAGGGGAAAAATTTGGGAATTTAACCAGAGGGAGAAATTGGGGTAGAAAATCGCAATTTTGGGGTACAAAATCCCAATTTAAATTGGGGTACAAAGCCCCAATTTTGGGGTAGAAAACCTCAATTTAAATTGGGGTAGAAAATCCCAATTTTGTGGTACAAAATCCCAATTTAAACTGGGGTAGAAACTCCCAATTTTGAGGTACAAAATCCCAATTTTGGGGTAGAAAAATCCCAATTTTGGGGTACAAAATCCCAATTTTGAGGTACAAAATCCCAATTTTGGGGTACAAAATCCAATTTTGAGGTACAAACCCCCAATTTTGGGGTACAAACCCCTAATTTTGAGGTACAAAATCCCAATTTTGAGGTACAAAATCCCAATTTTGGTGTACAAAACCCCATTTTTGGGGTAGAAAATCCCAATTTTGAGGTACAAAATCCCAATTTTGGGGTACAAAATCCCATTTTTGGGGTACAAATCCCAATTTTGGGGTACAAAATCCCAATTTTGGGGTAGAAAATCCCAATTTTGGGGTACAAATCCCCAATTTTGGGGTACAAACCCCGTTTTTGGCAGCCCCCAACCCCTTTTCCCTTTCCAGGGCATCGCCGTCCATGGAGGAGGAGGAGAAGCCCCCCCGGGGGGGGGAGGACCCGGCGGGGCCGGGCGAGGAGGGGGGGGGGGGACCCGGGGGAGCCCCCCCAGAACCTGAGGGGTCCCTGCGGCCCAGCCAGGGGCTACTGGTGAGACTGGGGGGGACTGGGAGGGACTGGGGGGGACTGGGGGGACTGGGGGGCACTGGGAGGGACTGGGAGGGAACTGGGAGGGACTGGGAGGGATTGGGGGCACTGGGGAGGGACTGGGGGGCACTGGGAGGGAACTGGGAGGGACTGGGAGGGACTGGGAGGGGAATGGGAGGGGAATGGGAGGGAACTGGGGGGGAGATTGGGGGGCTACTGGTGAGACTGGGAGGGACTGGGAGGGATTGGGGGGAACTGGTGAGACTGGGGGGGGACTGGGGGGGGGACTGGGGGGCACTGGGAGGGACTAGGTGGAAACTGGGAGGGACTGGGGGGGACTGGGGGGGGACTGGGAGGGAGATTGGGGGGCTACTGGTGAGACTGGGGGGGAACTGGGAGGGACTGGGGGGGACTGGGGGGCTACTGGGAGGGGAATGGGAGGGATTGGGGGGGAACTGGGGGGGACTGGGAGGGACTGGGGGGGACTGGGGGGCTACTGGGAGGGACTAGGTGGAAACTGGGAGGGACTGGGGGGCACTGGGAGGGAGATTGGGGGGCTACTGGTGAGACTGGGAGGGACTGGGGGGAGACTGGGGGGGAGTTTGGGGGGCTACTGGTGAGACTGGGGGGAACTGGTGGGACTGGGAGGGACTGGGGGGGAGATTGGGGGGCACTGGGAGAGACTGGGAGGGAGATTGGGGGGCTACTGGTGAGACTGGGGGGGACTGGGAGGGGAATGGGAGGGATTGGGAGGGACTGGGGGGAACTGGGAGGGAGATTGGGGGGCTACTGGTGAGACTGGGAGGGACTGGGAGGGGAATGGGAGGGATTGGGGGGGGAACTGGGGGGGACTGGGAGGGAGATTGGGGGGCACTGGTGAGACTGGGAGGGACTGGGGAGGAACTGGGGGGGATTGGGGGGGACTGGTGAGACTGGGAGGGACTGGGAGTGACTGGGAGGGAGATTGGGGGGAAACTGGTGAGACTGGGGGAGATTGGGGGGGGCACTGGTGAGACTGGGGGGGACTGGGAGGGAACTGGGAGAAACTGGGGGGAACTGGGAGGGACTGGGGGGGATTGGGAGGGAGATTGGGGGGCCTGGGACACCCCTGAGGGGGTTTGGGGTGCAGGGAACCCCCTGAAGGGTATTGGGGTGGGTTTGGGGTGGTTTTGGGGTATTTTTGGGGTGGTTTTGGGGTATTTTTGGGGTGGTTTTGGGGTATTTTTGGGGTGGGTTTGGGGTATTTTTGGGGTGGGTTTGGGGTATATTTGGGGGTGTTCTGGAGTCATTTTAGGGGCAATGGGAGCTCCCTGAGGGGGTTTTGGGGTGGTTTTGGGGGTATTTTTGGGGTGGTTTTGGGGTATTTTTGGGGTGGGTTTTGGGGTATTTTTGGGCTATTTGAGGTGGGGTTTGGGGTAATTTTAGGGGGTATTGGACCTTCCTGAGGGGGTTTTGGGGTGGTTTGGGTTGTTCTAGGGTGGGTTTGGGATATTTTGGGGGCAGTTTGGGGTGGGTTTGGGGTATTTTTGGGGTTGTTTTGGTGCTGTTTGGGGTGGTTTTTGGGGTATTTTGGGGGTTTTGGGTTGTTTCAGGGCAGCTTTGGGGATGGTTTTGGGGGATTTTTGGGGTGGTTTGGGGCAGTCTTGGGGTGGTTTTGGGGGATTTTTGGGGTGTTTTGGGGTTTTTTTTGGGGTATATTTTGGGTATTTTGGGGGTATTTGGGGGTATTTTTTGGTATTTTGGGATCTTTTGGGGGTGATTTGTGGTTTTGGGGTATTTTTTGGTTATTTGGGGATATCTTTGGGGTATTTTTGGGGTATTTGGGGATATCTTTGGGGTATTTTTGGGGTATTTGGGGATATCTTTGGGGTATTTGGGGATATTTTTGGGGTATTTTTGGGGATATCTTTGGGGTATTTTTTGGGATATTTTGGGGTGGTTTGGGCCCCCCTGAGGCTGTTGTGTCTCCCCTCCCCCACAGAAGGCCCTGCAGCGCCTGGTGAGCGGCGCCTTCACCTGGGGACAAGGTGAGGCCACCTGCGGCACCCGGGGCGTCCCCAATGTCACTTGGGGTGTCCCCAATGTCACCTGGGGGTGTCCCCAGTGTCACCTGGTGGGTCCTGATGTCACCTGAGGGGTCCCAATGTCACTTGGGAGGGTCCTGGTGTCACCTGGGGGTGTCCCCAACGTCACCTGGTGTCACCTGGGGGTGTCCCCAGTGTCACTTGGGGGTGTCCCTGATGTCCCCTGGTGTCACCTGAGGGCTCCCCAATGTCACGTGGGTGGTCCTGGTGTCACCTGGGGGTGTCCCCAATGTCACCCGGGGGGTGTCCAATGTCACCCGGGGGGTCCCCAGTGTCACCCAGGGTGTTCCCAGTGTCACCTGGGGGTGTCCAATGTCACCTGGGGGTGTCCCCATTGTCCCCAATGTCACCTGGGGGTGTCCCCAATGTCACCCGGGGGGTGTCCAATGTCACCTGGGGGTGTCCCCAGTGTCACCTGGTGGGTCCTGGTGTCACCTGAGGGGTCCCAATGTCACTTGGGAGGGTCCTGGTGTCACCTGGGGGTGTCCCCAACGTCACCTGGGGGTGTCCAATGTCACCTGGGGTGTCCTCAGTGTCACCTGTGTCACCTGGGGGGTTCCTGGTGTCACCTGAGGGGTCCCAACGTCACCTGGGAGCGTCCCCAATGTCACCTGGTGTCACCTGGGGTTGTCCCCAGTGTCACTTGGGGGTGTCCCTGATGTCCCCTGGTGTCACCTGAGGGCTCCCCAGTGTCCCGTGGGTGGTCCTGGTGTCACCTGGGGGTGTCCCCAATGTCACCTGGGGGGATGGGTGGTGTCACCTGGGGGTGTCCCCTGGGTGTCCCCAATGTCTCAGGTGTCCCCTGTGTGTCCCCAGAGCCCCCCCTGAAGCCCCCACGGCAGCGCTGGTGTTGGGGACCCCGGCCTGAGGGCGGCCCGGTGAGTGACCAGTTCAAACCAGTGAGTGACCAGTTCAAACCAGTAAGTGACCAGTGCACACCAGTGAGTGACCAGTTCAAACCAGTGAGTGACCAGTTCACACCAGTGAGTGACCAGTTCAGACCAGTGAGTGACCAGTTCAGACCAGTGAGTGACCAGTTCAAACCAGTGAGTGACCAGTGCACACCAGTGAGTGACCAGTTCAAACCAGTGAGTGACCAGTTCAGACCAGTGGGTGACCAGTTCAGACCAGTGAGTGACCAGTTCAAACCAGTGAGTGACCAGTTCAAACCAGTGAGTGACCAGTTCAGACCAGTGAGTGACCAGTTCAAACCAGTGAGTGACCAGTTCAAACCAGTGAGTGACCAGTGCACACCAGTGAGTGACCAGTTCAAACCAGTGAGTGACCAGTTCAGACCAGTGAGTGACCAGTTCAAACCAGTGAGTGACCAGTGCACACCAGTGAGTGACCAGTTCACACCAGTGAGTGACCAGTGCACACCAGTGAGTGACCAGTTCAAACCAGTGAGTGACCAGTGCACACCAGTGAGTGACCAGTTCAAACCAGTGAGTGACCAGTTCAGACCAGTGAGTGACCAGTTCAGACCAGTGAGTGACCAGTTCAGACCAGTGAGTGACCAGTGCACACCAGTGAGTGACCAGTTCACACCAGTGAGTGACCAGTGCACACCAGTGAGTGACCAGTGCACACCAGTTCAACATCCCAGTCCATCCCAGTTCAGTCTAGTGCCCTCCCAGTCCCCTCCAGTCCCTCCCAGTCCATCCCAGTTCACTCCCAGTATAACGCAGTTCATGCCAGTCCCCTCCCAGTCCCTCCCAGTCCATCCCAGTCCATCCCAGTCCCATCCCAATCCCCTTCCAGTTCCCTTCCAATCCTTCCCAGTCCCTCCCAGTATATCCCAGTTTATCCCAGTATATCCCAGTTTATTTCCCAGTCTATCCCAGTTTATTTCCCAGTTTATTTCCCGGTATATCCCAGTATATCCCAGTTTATTTCCCAGTTTATTTCCCAGTCTATCCCAGTTTATCCAGTTTATCCCAGTTTATTTCCCAGTCTATCCCAGTTTATCCCAGTCTATCCCAGTTTATCCCAGTCTATCCCAGTATATCCCAGTTTATTTCCCAGTTTATTTCCCAGTCTATCCCAGTTTATCCCAGTTTATCCCAGTTTATTTCCCAGTCTATCCCAGTTTATCCCAGTCTATCCCAGTTTATCCCAGTCTATCCCAGTATATCCCAGTTTATTTCTCAGTATATCCCAGTATATCCCAGTATATCCCAGTTTATTTCCCAGTCTATCCCAGTCTATCCCAGTCTATCCCAGTTTATTTCCCAGTCTATCCAGTTTATCCCAGTCTATCCCAGTCTATCCCAGTTTATCCCAGTTTATTTCCCAGTTTATCCCAGTCTATCCCAGTTTATTTCCCAGTCCTATCCCAGTTTATTTCCCAGTCTATCCCAGTCCGTGCTGACCCCGATTTCCCCCCCAGGTTTGGGAGCCCATGGGGGGCCCGGGGGGGGCCCTGGAGCAGCTGCAGCTCAGCAGGTGAGGGGGGGGACCCCAAAAATGGGGAGGGGGACCCCAAAAACAGGGGGGACTTTTAGGGTCCCTTTTTGGGGTCCAGGGGGGTCTCTCTATCCCTTTTTTGGGGTCCACGCGGGGTGTTGGGGGTCCCTTTTTGGGGTTCAGGGTGGTCTGGGTCCCTTTCTAGGGTTCAGGGCTCCATTTTTGGAATCCAGGGTGGGTATTGGGGTCCCTTTTTGGGGTTCAGGGAATTCCCAGGATCCTGGATTCCCTTTTTGGGGTTCAGGGCTCCATTTTTGGGGTCCTTGAGTCCATTTTTGGGGTTCATGGGAGGGTTCAGGGCTCCATTTTTGGGGTTCATGGGGGGGTTCAGGGCTCCATTTTTGGGGTTCAGGGGGGTCTATTGGGGTCCCTTTTTGGGGTTCAGGGCTCCATTTTTGGGCTCCATGTTTGGGGTTCAGGGGGTTTTTGGGGTCCCTTTTTTGGGGGTTCAGGGCTCCATTTTTGGGGGGTTCAGGGCTTCATTTTTGGGGTTCAGGGCTCCATGTTTGGGGTTCAGGGCTCTATGTTTGGGGTTCAGGGGGGGTATTGGGGTCCCTTTTTGGGCGGTTCAGGGCTCCATTTTTGGGGTTCCGGGGCAGTATTGGGGTCCCTTTTTGGGGGGTTCTGGGCTCCATTTTTGGGTCGTTCAGGGCTCCATTTTGGGGGTTCAGGGGGTTCGGGGCTCCATTTTTGGGCTCCATGTTTGGGCCGTTCAGGGCTCCATTTTTGAGGGGCTCAGGGCTCCATGTTTGGGGTTCAGGGCTCCATTTTTGGGCTCCATTTTTGGGGGGTTCAGGGCTCCATGTTTGGGCTCCATTTTTGGGGGGTTCAGGGCTCCATTTTTGGGCTCCATTTTTGGGCCGTTTAGGGCTCCGTGTTTGGGGTTCAGGGCCGGGTTTTTGGGGTTCAGGGCTCCATGTTTGGGCCATTCAGGGCTTCATTTTTGGGCCGTTCAGGGCTCCATGTTTTGGGGTTCAGGGCCGGGTTTTTGGGCTCCATGTTTGGGGTTCAGGGCCGGGTTTCTGGGGTTCAGGGCCGGGTTTTTGGGGTTCAGGGCCGGGTTTTTGGGGTTCAGGGCCGGGTTTCTGGGGTTCAGGGCCGGGTTTTGGGGTTCAGGCCCGGGTTTTTGGGGTTCAGGGCCGGGTTTTGGGGTTCACCCCTGCCCCGTGTCCCCGCAGCAGCGAGGGCTCCCCCGAGGACGAGGAGCTGGAGTTGGTGGCCGAGGTTCGCGTGGCCGACCTGGGGGGGCTGGCGGCCGCCTCGGGGCTCCTGCGCAGGGAACGGCCCTGGAGGGCCCCCAAAGCAGGTGCAGGGGCCTGGGGGGGTTTGGGGGGGTTTGGGGGGATTTTGGGAGGATTTGGAGGGGTTTTGGGGGAATTTTGAGGTGATTTTTGGAGGATTTGGGGGGATTTCAGGAGGGTTTGGGCGGGATTTTGGGGGGTTTAGGGGGGATTTTGGGGGGCTCTGAAGAGGTTTGGGGAGGTTGGGGGCGGTTTTGGGGTGATTTTAGGGTGATTTTGGGGTGATTTTGGGGTGTTTGGGTGGATATGTGGGGGGCTTGGGGGAGGATTTTGGGGGGATTTGAGGGATTTGGGTGGATTTCAGTTGGGATTTCAGAGAGTTTGGGTGGATTTTGGGGGGGTTTGAGGAGGTTTTGGGGGGATTTTGAGGGGATTTTTGGGGGGTTTGGAAAGGATTTGGGGATTTTGGGGAGGTTTTGAGGTGATTTTTGGGGGGATTTGGGGCAATTTTGGGAGGATTTGGAGGGGTTTTGGGGGAATTTTGAGGTGATTTTTAGAGGATTTGGGGGCATTTCAGGAAGGTTTGGGCGGGGTTTTGGGGGGTTTAGGGGGGATTTTGGAGGGCTCTGAAGAGGTTTGGGGAGGTTGGGGGTGGTTTTGGGGTGATTTTGGGGTGATTTTGGTGGGTTTGGGTGTTTATATGGGGGGCTTGGGGGAGGATTTTGAGGGATTTTTGGGGGGATTTGAGGGATTCAGGTGGATTTCGGTTGGGATTTCAGAGAGTTTGGGGGGATTTTGGGGGGATTTTTGGGGGGTTTGAAAAGGATTTGGGGATTTTGGGGGGTTTTGAGGTGATTTTTGGGGGGATTTTGGGAGGATTTGGAGGGGTTTTGGGGGAATTTTGAGGTGATTTTTGGAGGATTTGGGGGGATTTCAGGAGGGTTTGGGCCGGGTTTTGGGGGGTTTAGGGGGGATTTGGGGGGCTCTGAAGAGGATTGGGGAGGTTGGGGGTGGTTTTGGGATGATTTTGGGGTGATTTTGGTGGGTTTGGGTGTTATATGGGGGGCTTGGGGGAGGATTTTGGAGGGATTTTTGGGGGGATTTGAGAGGGATTTGGGTGGATTTCGGTTGGGATTTCAGAGAGTTTGGTGGATTTTGGGGGGATTTGAGGAGGTTTTGGGGGGATTTTTGGGGGTTTGGAAAGGATTCAGGGATTTTGGGGGGTTTTGAGGTGATTTTTGGGGGGATTTGGGGCAATTTTGGGAGGATTTGGAGGGGTTTTGGGGGAATTTTGAGGTGATTTTTAGAGGATTTGGGGGCATTTCAGGAAGGTTTGGGCGGGGTTTTGGGGGGTTTAGGGGGGATTTTGGGGGGCTCTGAAGAGGTTTGGGGAGGTTGGGGGTGGTTTTGGGGTGATTTTGGTGGGTTTGGGTGTTTATATGGGGGGCTTGGGGGAGGATTTTGGAGGGATTTTTGGGGGGATTTGAGGGATTTGGGTGGATTTCGGTTGGGATTTCAGAGAGTTTGGGTGGATTTTGGGGGGATTTGAGGAGGTTTTGGGGGGATTTTGAGGGGATTTTTGGGGGGTTTGGAAAGGATTTGGGGATTTTGGGGAGGTTTTGAGGTGATTTTTGGGGGGATTTGGGGCAATTTTGGGAGGATTTGGAGGGGTTTGGGGGAAATTTTGAGGTGATTTTTGGAGGATTTGGGGGGATTTCAGGAGGGTTTGGGCCGGGTTTTGGGGGGTTTAGGGGGGATTTTGGGGGGCTCTGAAGAGGTTTGGGGAGGTTGGGAGTGGTTTTGGGGTGATTTTGGGGTGATTTTGGTGGGTTTGGGTGGATATGTGGGGGGCTTGGGGGAGGATTTTGAGGGATTTTTGGGGGGATTTGAGGGATTTGGGTGGATTTCGGTTGGGATTTCAGAGAGTTTGGGTGGATTTTGGGGGGGTTTGAGGAGGTTTTGGGGGGATTATTGGGGGGTTTGGAAAGGATTTGGGGATTTTGGGGAGGTTTTGGGGTGATTTGGGGAGGTTTTGGGGGTGATTTAGGGGGGTTGGGTGGATGTTTGGAGAGATTTGGGGGAGGATTTTGGGAACATTTTGAGGGGATTTTGGTTGGGATTTCAGAGGGTTTGGGGGAATTTCGAGGGGTTTTGGGGGGGATTTTGGGAACTTTTGGGGGGATTTGGGTGGATTTTGGGTGGATTTGAGGGGATTTTGGGGGGGTTGGGCAGATGAGGTTCACATGGCAGAAATGGGGGATTTAGGGTGGAAATGGAGAATTTAGGATGGAAATGGGATTTTTGGAGGGGATCTTTAGAGGATTTAGGGCGGAAATTGGGGATTTAAGGTAAAAATGGAGAAGTTTGGCTGGAAATGAGGAATTTAGGCTGGAAATGGGGAATTTAAGATGGAAATGGAGAATTTGGGCTGGAAATGTGGAATTGTGCCTGGAAATGGGGAATTTAGGATGGAAATGGGATATTCTGATGGGATCTTTATAGGATTTAGGGTGGAAATGGGGGATTTAGGCTGGAAATGGGGGATTTAGTCTGGAAATGTGGAATTTTGCCTGGAAATGTGGAATTTAGGTGGAAATGGGATATTTTGATGGGATCTTTATAGGATCTAGGGTGGAGATGGGGGATTTAGGGTGAAATTTTGTGGGATTTAGGTGGAAATGGGGGATTTTGGTTGAAATGTGGGATTTAGGTAGAAATGGGATATTTTGATGGGATCTCTATAGGATTTAGGGTGGAAATGGGGGATTTAGGTGGAAATGGGGGATTTAGGTGGAAATGGGATATTTTGATGGGATCTCAATAGGATTTAGGGTGGAAATGAGGGATTTTAGTCCAGAAATGGGGGATTTAGGCTGGAAATGGGGGATTTAGTCTGGAAATGTGGAATTTTGCCTGGAAATGTGGAATTTAGGTGGAAATGGGATATTTTGATGGGATCTTTATAGGATTTAGGGTGGAAATGGGGGATTAGGTGGAAATGGGGGGATTAAGGTGGAAATGGGGGATTTAGGTGGAAATGGGATATTTTGATGGGATCTCTATAGGATTTAGGGTGGAAATGTGGGATTTAGGCTGGAAATGTGGGATTTAGGTGGAAATGGGGGATTTTGGGGCCATCTTTGTGCTCCTCTGACCCCTCCCTCCCCTCCTCTCTGTCCCCCCCCCCAGGTCACCTCCCCGGCTCCTCCTCCCGTCGCTGGCGCGTCCCTGGGGGTCCCCCATCCCCCCCAGGCCCCCCCGCCGGGACCCCCCCCGCTCCTCCCCTCCCCCACCGGACCCGCCGGGCCCCTCCCCCCACCCCGGGCCGGCCCCGCCGCCCCCGAGGCCCCCGAGCGGCCGCTCCCGGGGGGGGGGCGCCGGGGGGGCCCCAGCAGCAGCAGCAGCAGCAGCAGCGCCCCCCACAGCCCCCCCCCACCAGCCGGGACGAGCCCGGCCGCACCCACCCCCCGGAAAAAGCCGATTCTTCCTCCTCTTCCTCCTCCTCCTCCTCTTCTTCCTCCTCCCGCTCTTCCTCCTCGTCCGCCTCCTCTTCCTCGGGCCCCCCCGGCCCCGTCTCGGCCCGGCCCCGCTCTCCTTCCCTGGATATTTATGATCCTTTCCACCCCACCGACGAGGAGAACCCGGGTTTGGGGGGCGGCACAGGAGGAGGAGGAGGAGGAGCCCCCCCGGATTTTGGTTACGGCAGCGGCGCCGCCTCCTCTTCCTCGCCCGGCAAAGAGGCCGAAGGCCGGCAGGACCAGAAGTACGACCCCTTCGACCCCACGGGCTCCAACCCCAGCTCGTCCCGCAGCAGCCCCAGCCCCGAGGAGGAGGAGGAGGAAGAGGAGGAAGAGGAAGAGGAAGAAGAGGAGGAGGAGGAGGAGGAAGAGGAGGAGGAGGAAGAGGAGGAGGAAGAGGCGCCGGCGCTGCTGCCGGACGTTTCCCACAGCATCAGCCGCATCTCGGAGACCTTGGCCGGCATCTACGACGACAACAGCCTGAGCCAGGACTTCGAGAAAGATCCGGAACCCCCAAAGACGCCTCCAAACCCTCCCGGCGCCGACTCCACCCTGCCCGAGGAGGAGGAGGAGGAGGATGAAGACGAGGAGGAGGAGGAGGAGGAGCGCGAGGAAGGCTCCGAAATGCGGCGCGCCGTGGCCGAGCCGCGCCGCCGCGTCTTCGTGGTGGATCTGGGCGGCAAAGGCCGCGCCGAGAGCGAGGCTCACCCCAAATTCGACGGCAAGCTCTCCTTGGAGGTGGTGACCCCCGGCAACCCCAAAGCGCCCCAAAATCCGGCGGCGCCGCCCCGCAACCGCGCGGCGCCACCCCAAAGCCCTCCCGGCACCGCGGGGCGCCGCGAGTGGGGCACGCCGGGCGACTCGGAGATCGAGGAGGGAGAGATCGTGCAGCCGGAGGAGGAGAGGTTCAGCCCCTTGAGGATTTTCCGTGGCAGTGGCGGTGGTGGCGGCGGCGGTGGTGGCACCACCGGGACCGGCGCCGGGCGCCGCCCGAGGCCGCGCGCCGGAGCCGCGAGCGCCGCGTCTCCCCGAGGGTGGCGATGATTTCCTGTCTCTCCACGCCGATTCCGACGAAGAAGCCGATTTTGGCGCCGAGTCCCAGCCGGATCCGCGTTGGAAAAGCGGCGGCGGCGGCGGCAACGGCAGCGGCACCGGCTCCGATTTGAGGAGGAAAATCCTCAGCCAGCGTCGCCTCCGCGCGCCGCCGTCGCCGCGCTCGCCCTCAGCCACGTCCAGGAAAAAAATCCAAACGGTCCCGGGAACGCGGCGGCTCCGGGAGCGCCTGGGTCAGCGCCAAAAAAGCTCCGGAGCCGGCGCCGAAATCCAAAGAGCGGCACCGGCGCCGCGGGTCCAGGTCGCGCTCGCGCCGGCGCTCGTGGTCGCGGCGCTCGAGGTCCAGGGAGAAACGGCGCCGGCGTCGCTCGGGCAGCTCCGGGCGCTCCCGGCACAAAGAGAAACACCGCGGGGAGAAGAAGAAGAAAAAACAGCGCTCGAGGTCCCGGGAACGCCGCGGGTCCCGCAGGGACGGCGGCGACGGAAAGGCGGCCGAGAAGGGCGAGGCGTCGCGGCGGCGCGTGGTGCCGCCCTCGGTGCAGGAGCTCAACGACTCGGATCTTTTTGCCATCAAGAGAACCATCACGGTGAACCGGCGCGCGGCCACGCCCGAGCCCAAACGCGAGGTTCTCTACGATTCCGAAGGGCTGAGCTTTGAGGGGTTCTCGGACCGCGAGCACGCCGAGTTCCCGGCGAGGAAAACCGAGGTGAGGCCGGCGGCGGAAGGCGGGAAGAAGGAGAAGGAGAGGAAGCGGAGCCGGCCCGAGGAGAGGCCGCCGGGGAGGGAGAAATACAAGAAGAAATTTAAAGATTACGCCGAGCCCGCCGCGGCGGAGAGCGGGAAAAGCAAAGAGAAGCCACGGGAGAAAAGCGGCAGGAAAGGAAAAAACGGGAGGCGGGCACAAGGAAGGGGCGGAAACGGCGGCGCCGAAAGCGCCCGCGGCGGTGCCGAGGAAGGTGAAGCTTCAGTCCAAGGTGTCGGTGTTGATCCGCGAGGGCGTCAGCTCCACCACGACCACCAAAGATGGAGGGGGCGGCGGCGGGGCCGGAATCGGGGTGAAATTCGCCCGCGACGCCGAGAGCCGCGCGGCGTTCCTGAAAGCCGAGGAGAAAACGGAGAAAGGGACCCCCAAAAACGACGGGGGGCAAACCCGCGACGGGGGCGTGAAACCCCGCAAGGTGAAACCCCCCAAAATCAAGGGCGGGGGTGAAGAAAGTCAAAGTCAAAGCCAAGGGCGAGGCGAGGAAGAAGAGGAAGACCAAGGTGAAGAGCGGCGGCGCTTTGAAGAAATCCAAAGCCGACAGCCAGAGCGCCGCCACCCCCCCTCTCCGTTTGCCCCCCAAACCCGACCCCGCCTGGTCGGGCTCCGAGAAATCCCCCGGGGGGACCCCGAAACCTCCCAGCCCCCCGTCCCCGGCCGCGGCCGTCACCCCGAAATCCGCCCCGGCCTCCCAGACCGCCCCGGCCGAGCGCGAGCTGACGCCGGACTCGCAGACCGTGGACAGCAGCTGCAAGACCCGGACGTGTCCTTCCTCCCCGAGGAGGGCGCGGCGGCGCCGGCCCAGGCCGGGGGCGCCGAGGGCCCGGGGGCCGGGGACCCTCCCGGAGGGGACCCCGAGGCCGACAGCCGCAGCGAGGCCAAGGAGGAGCCGGGCAGGGCCACGGCGGCGGCGGCACCGGGAGCGGCACCGGGAGCGGCGGCAACGGCAACGGCGGCCGGGGCATGGAGCCTGCAGGGCGGCGTGGACTGCGCCACCAGCGGCGTGCTGGCACGTACGTCACAGTTTGGGGGGGTTTTGGGGTGTCCCGACAGGTTTTGGGGGGGTTTTGGGGTGTCCCGAAGTGTTTAGGAGGGTTTTGGGGTGTCCTGATATTTTTGGGTGGTTGTGTTGGCATGGAGGTGACATGGTTGGGGATGGTTTCAAGGGGGTTTTGGGGTGTCGTGAAGTTTTTTGGGGTTTTTGGGGTGTCGTGAAGTTTTTTGGGGACATTTTTGGGGTGTCCTGACATTTTTGGGGGGTTTTTTGGGGGTTTTTGGGGTGTCATGATATTTTTGGGGGGGGTTCAGTTGGCATGGAGGGGACGTTTTTGGGGAGATTTTTGGGTGGTTGTGTTGGCGTGGAGCTGACATGGTTGGGGATGGTTTTGGGGGGGTTTTTGGGGTGTCATGATATTTTTTGGGGGGGGTTTTGGGGTGTCCCGACATTTTTTGGGGGTTTTTTTTGGGGGGTTTTGGGGGTGTCATGATATTTTAGGGGGTTTTTGGGGTGTCCCAAAGTTTTTTTGGGGGTTTTTGGGGTGTCATGACATTTTTGGGTGGTTGTGTTAGCATGGAGGTGACACGGTTGGGGATGGTTTCTGGGGGCGTTTTGGGGTGTCCCAACAGTTTTGGGGACATTTTTGGGGACGTTTTGGGGCGTCCCTTGGTTGTTAATGGGGTGTTTTTGGGGCGTTGTGGTGGCACATGGGTGACAATTTTGGGGACGTTTTTGGGGACGTTTTCGGTGGGTTTGGGTTGTTCCTCTGTGGTTAATGGGGTGGTTTTGGGGGGTTGTGGTGGCACATGGGTGACACTTTTGGGGACACTTTGGGGGACATTTCTGGGGACATTTTTGGGTGGTTTGGGGGTGTCCTGACATTTTTGGGGACGTTTTTGGGGGATTGTGGTAGCACATGGGTGACATTTTTGGGGACACTTTTGGGGACATTTTTGGGGGTGTCCCCTCTGTGGTTAATGGGGCGTTTCAGGGGGGATTGTGGGGTGACATTTTTGGGGACATTTTGAGAGTTTTTGGGATGTCCTGACATTTTTGGAGACGTTTCTGGGGGGTGGTGTTGGCATGTGAGCGACATCTTTGGGGACGTTTTGGGGACATTTTTGGGGAT